CCCCAAAACCCCAAAACCCCAAAACCCCACAATGAAAGGATATCATGTGTTACTTAACATTTCAGGAATAAAATAATTATTACTTATTCGTTATAATTCAATTTAAAATGTAGTTAAATAATCAGCAGATAACTGAGAGATCTCAAAATAAAGCATAGTAAAGTGTAAGTATAGATTATCGTCTTTGTTTATCATCATTTAAATGATAGGTATCTGAAAAAGACAACTCTCCTTCAAAAATGGTTGTACTTTCAGCATAAGATAATTGCATGCTAGCTTAATTATTCAAAGCATCTGCATCTTTTCTTGCAGATTAATATAATAATGATAAAAATTCATCAAGATCTCCTGTGAAAAATAGCCAAGGAAAGTCATCTTTACTAGACCAATGCAACATAATGGCTCAGAATTAGCAATTAAAGGCCTAGGCAAAAGCTTCAAAATAAATGCAGCCCAAAATATCTTCAAATTACTCAATATAAAATCTGCATCATTAGCCATAGAATCAAAATTCTTAAATTAGCAAAGCAAATTAAAGCCTAAATAGAATTACTTCATAAAAAGCAAATTTAGAAAAGACAACTTCAACCAAAGCTTTGAATCATCACATTGGTCAAAAGAAAAGTCTAAATAAAACCTTTTAAAACAATAATGAGAACTTATATAACCATCACACATAAAGCATGAAACATCTACAAGAAAATTTAAATTCAACTCAAGTTAGATAGGAGAGTAAAGGGATCAAGTTTTAAGAGGAAAGTATGAGAAATATCACCCTTGGGACAAATAAATCTAATAAATAACTACTCTAAAGTGTTGAAAATCTATAATTTATGGATTTAAATACATCTGCAATTTAGATGCATAATGATAATTAATAATCAAAGCAGGGAAATATGGAAAACTCTTATGCCCTAAGATAAAGCAATTCATCTTTGGATATTTTAAGGCAATCTTAATCTAGTTCAATAGCAATGAAATTCATAGAAAGAGCTCTAGAAAGAGAAAGAAGTAAGGGAGTTCCTAGCTATAGTAAGGAAAATGCAAATGATTATGTTCCTAGAAAATAAGAAAATGAAACATTATCGAAGCAAAGCTAAAAAATTCAAGAGTTGTCAATTGTAAATGAGAAACTTAAGTAAATGAAGGATAAAATAAGGTAAGAGAAGAAATAAGAGATACTTATGAAGCTTAATCCATCTGTTTATTTGGATCAATAACTAAGCAATCTTAGTTAATCTTTTGAACAAATTAATAAACAAATGAAAGATTAGATTATCAAGCAAATTATTCATGAGGATGAAAATGAGATACTAGATACTGAGCCCAGTCAGCCACCTCCCAGTCTAAAGAACTCATTATCCACTTTAGAACATACAAACGTCTCTTTAGTAAATGATTAAAGCAAAATTAAAGTTCCTCTTTCAATCAAGAGTTAATCTAAAAAAGTCCTATCTACTGTCTAATCAAGCAAATAATTCAAACCTCATCCAAATCTAAATGTGAGTTCTGACGGTATCCACAAACAGTATGTAGATAACTAAAAAATACAGAAGGTTCCAACCAGATCTACTAGCTAAATGAATCATATTGACAAATAATAATAAGATAAGCAAAAAGAGCAATAGAGGGTACAAGTTGATAATCTAAAATAACCTAGCAAGAGTACTACTAAGTAAGTTTAGCCAGAAATGAATTGCTAAAGTTTAAATAAAATATAAGCGAAAGAAGAGAGGAGAAGAAAAACATCATCCAGGCAGTCAAGATCTTTTACTTAATAAGAACTTTAATTGATTACATAAAACATAGATTATACTAATAGCATCATTGATATCAATAATAGTCTTTAATAGCAGATAACAATAGATGAGAACGATACAATAAATCTAAGAAAAACTTAAGAAAATATACAGATGCAAAACTTAGCTCAAAGCATAAGTCCTAAAAAGTAAGTTTCGTTCAAGTCTCTCGAAATTTACTAAGATGGTTTAAAGACTAAACTCAGAACAGTCACTGAAAAAATGATCAGATATATGAAGGAGATTAACTTTACTACCATAATAGACTTTAAAAGATAGGATGATAATCCTTCAAAGTCATGTTTCAGAGCAGCTAGATGCCTATGTCTTTTGATATCTTCATTTTGTGATGATTCCTAAGTCAGCAAAGTTAGTTTCTAAGCAAATCTTGAAGATTTTACTGATTGGAAATAAATAAAGCAATACATAAACAAAAATTCACATAAAATAGTTTATAGTATAAGTACAATAAAACTTAAATGTGATAGAAAGTAGTACTGTTTTGATCAAATAAAAAAGATATACAATGAGATATTCTTAATGATGGATGAATAGATAACAGCAACTTCCCCTAAGATCAGAAACTAGCAATACAAACCAGTGTTTTGCTTCGTATTCTTTACAATTAATTACATCTTGATTCTATAAAAACTTGATGAAATCTAGCGAGGTAATTTAAATTAAACTGCACCAGAGTAGATTTATGACACTTTTACTCCTTCTAAAAGTATTCTAGAAGATCATTAAACTCAAGCTAATATGAATAAATCTTACTAGTCTTCCCAAGTAGCTACTAAAAGAAACTCTATTGAGCCAATTATTCCAGATAAGAGCAAGCTGAATAGTACAATTGACTATCATTCAAAGAGTTAAAGCAGACTCATTACAAACAAAAATATCAAATGCTCTACTGCTCATGCTTATGGAAATAAAACAGCTTCTAAGTTTAGTGAGAAGCATTCAAACTTTAGTTCAGCTATACAGTCAAATAGAAGCAATATTAACTTAAGACAATCAAACCCTTAAAATCAGATAATAAAGGCGGAATCTAGATAAAGTATTCTAGATTTTGATGGTATATAGATAAAAGTAAATCCTAAGGAAGTCTAGAAAGTTCACTAAAAGACAAAATAAATAATTGTGAATTCTTAACAGTTATCTTAAAATATCAACTCAGTAAAGGTTGAACCAATAGTTTCAAAGAATTAGAAATTCATAAGAGAGATTACTCCAGAGAATATTACATGTGACAATACTATTCAACAAACTGTTAGAAACAACTTTAGATAAGAATTGTCTTTTAGTTAGATGAGCCAATAATTAGCATAAAAAGATACATAAGATTAAAAGATACCTCATCACGTCGTAGTCCCTCCACTCAACCTAGGCAAGCCTGCTTTCAGTTTAAAACTTAATAGAATAATTCCTGAAGATGATATATAAATTAATCAAGCCATGATTATTACTCCAAAAATATTAGATCCTGCGCAGTAAAACCAAAATGAGTTGTTGAAGCCTTCACTACAACCATAAATTATGGAGAAAAGTAGTAGTCACAGCGCAAGTATGATGTAAAAAGGCCTTAATCTCAAAATGAATGAACAAGATAAACGCACAATGATTTAATCATTGATTGAGAACAGAAGAAAATCTCAAGAAAGAAAGTCTGGAGGGTAGTTAGAAGAAAATACCTGGAAGATTATTAATCAACTGTCATAGTCTATTATCGTGCCAAATTCTGCTGATAAATAATGATTATTCATTTAGTTAATATTCTAATCATCTTTATTCCTTAATAAACCATCTAATTTATTACTGAGGGGTTTTGGGGTTTTGGGGTTTTGGGGAGATCGGAAGAGC